GTCCGGTAGCCGGGGAGGCTCATCAGCGCCGAGTTGCCTGGGGTCTCTTGCGGGGAGGAGGTTTCCAGCTTGACGAGGGATTCCTGAGAGGGGAAGCTGGCGAGGGAGCGGGTGGAGGTGGCCGAGCGCAGCCTGCCCTTTCCAGGGGCAGCTTTCGGGGGCTGAGCTGGTGGGATGCTGCAGAAGGACGTGTTGGCGCTGTCCGGTTCCTCTACCTTGGCCTGTTTCTGAGGCGGAGGGAAAAAAAAACGAGGTCCAAATCTATAGCCAATAGAGAGACACCCTCAGCAGAGGCCACAGCCGGGGCTGCCGCGGCCGGGGCTGGCGCGGATGTGGCCCGCTGCGCCCCAAGGCGGCCCGGCTGCCGTGTCTGCTGGGTGAGAGACAAAGAAGAGGGCAGGGAGCAGATAAATTGCAGCTCCTCCTAGGCCACCCCGTGCCACGCTTGTCCTCCCCTGCTGCCAACTCAGCCCTCCCACCACGAGCATCGCGCCTGGAGGACAGAGGCTCCAGGGCTCCTTGGGACGTGGCTTGGTGCAAAGAGGTCAGGAGCAGCTCTGGGGCGCGAGCTCAACCCTCCGCACGCTGCCCCAGAGCAGCTCGGGGCTGGCCCTCCTGCAGCCCGTTCGGGTGATGGCTGCAGCCCAAGCCAGCGTGGGAGCAATGGGTCAAGGGAGCACCTCTGCCTCTCCCTCGTTCCTTGGGGGGCCCTAGGGAACCCCCCAGGCTGCAGGGCGCAGCGAGTCCCACGCTCCCATCCTCAGCACGGAGAACCCTTCACCCCAGAGATCCCTCCCTGCCCCGAGCACCCAGGCCCGGCTCACTTTAGTCATGGTGATGTTGATTATCTGCGTGGTACGGCGCCGCGCCGAGCGGGTCTTGCAGCCGGAGTCCAGCGACAGATCGCCCAGGGAGCTGGCGCTGCTCTCCAGCTTCGCCTGCGCGCGGCTTGGGATGGGGGTGAAGTAGAGGCTCTCCAGGGACTCCACCTTGCGAGGCAGCTGCCGGGACGCCGGCGACTCCACGCCGCCTGGC